CCTCCCTGATAGGCGCTGAGGCTGAGTCGACGACGGGCACGCATGCACTTGGACTGACGGTGGCGAAGCAGCAGTGCTTCACAAGTGTCGTCAAACCCACCTCACGCCATGGACGATGGAGCAGGACCAGCAAGCTTCCCTCCAATCCTTTTTAGTTCGTATATAAGATTTGTCTAAAGTTAAATCTCATAAAGTTTGACCAATTTTATAGAAAAAAATATCAACATTCACAATGTAAAATCAATACTTGTTTATGCATCAGGACTTAAAGTTTCATATTGTATAACTTTAGCATGATAGATGTTAATATGTTTTCATATAAATATGGTCGAATATTGAGAAATTTGAATTCAGACAATTCTTATATGCAAAGTAAAAATGACCTGAGGAAGTACCAGAGCAGCCCTCACATGACCACATGGCTTAGTGGTATTTTACATTCTTTTATTACTTCAAGGTTCAGGGTACTAGGGACTTATGACTGACTGTGAAAATAAGAGCATGCTTGGATACGTTTTAGTCCCATGACTAAAAGTAGTGGGACTAAAATTTGCTAGTCTCACCCATGCTTGGATTCAAGTACTAAAGAGACTAAAATCTAGTTATTGAGCATTTATTATCCTCCAAACCCTTCAATCCAGAACTAAGGAGAGGAATTAAATGAGGAGAGAGAGCTAATACATATTTTAGTAGGTTTCCCATGACTAAAAGATTTTAGCCTCAAGACTAGTCCTAGCCTCTCTTTAGTCAGGGGTGCTTGGAACTTTAGCCTCTAAAAGAGACTATTTTTAGTCAGACTAAAAATAGTCCCTTGTATCCAAGCACCCTGTAAGCTGCCACCTTTTTTTCAAGGACGCGTTTAGATGCGCTGACTAATTTGAACTCCACGCACAACATCGTACATTTAATGCTAATCGTAAAAAGAAAATAACGTCGTACATTTAATGCGCTTTCACGCCACCGACTCGCACTGATCGGATCCGGAATGTACTACTACTTAGGTCCAGGGCTAGCTAGCTATAAAGACCGCACGGCTGGGCCTGTCACTCCGCAAGCTAGCACAGCCCTGATTCTGAAGCATCGATCGAGCTTGAGTTTCCTAGTTTTGGTGATTTGCATTGCAGAGTGGCCGAATGGTGGCTCAGGGAAGAGGCAGTGCGGCCACCGGTCTGGTCGCCGGCGTCGTGCTCCTGTGCGCGCTCCTTCCAATCACCGGCGCGGCCGCGATGGCGCGGCAGGCGCCGAGGACGTACGTGGTCGGCGACGACAAAGGGTGGGGTCGCGACCTCAACTCATGGTGGCCGAACGGGAAGACCTTCTACGCCGGCGATGTGCGCGGTGAGTCGTTGCTGTTGTGATGTTCTCTTCCAGCTAGGCATGCAGCTAGCTGGCCATGGGCTATGGCGTTCTCCATTGTTGCATGGGTTGCGTACTTACATGTGTTGATGGAACGGCTGCAGTGTTCAAGTACGACAAGGAGCTCCACGACGTGTCGGTGGTGGGCGGCAAGGGGTACCAGCGGTGCGAGGTGCCGAGGCACAGCGCCAAGAGGTGGGTGATGCGCACCGGGAACGACCAGGTGACGCTGCGCAGGGGCAACAACTACTTCATCTGCGGCCTGCCGGGCCACTGCGACAAGAACATGAAGCTCGCCGTCAAGGCCTGGTAGATCCATCCATCTGGCTGCATAATGTCCGCAAGGCCTACCGGCCGGGGTACATCATCATCAAGCAGTGCTTGCATGCTTGGCCTGGCCGTCGGTTAAGTGTCCGTGTCTTGCTGGGTTCTCGAGTTAATTTATTTGCCTCTCGAATTGGGGTTGTCACTTGTATTAGAAACCTAATTTATCGTGGATTATGTGTGTCGTCATCGAGTAAACTTGATGTTTTCTCTACGTTATTCTACTAGCAAACATTCCCGTGCGTTGCAACGGGAGAAAAAAAAATTGGCATGCTTCGCTGCAAAGCAAACGTCAATTACCATTAGTCAAGCAGCTGGACAGATAGAGGATAAGTTTGATAATAACAAAAATGATGAATTGATTACCAATAGGATTCCTTGAGGCTCTAGTTCGAAACTTGGGACATGAATCTTAGTAAACTAATCAGATGACAACCTTATCTTTTAGATTACCATAATACTAATAAAATTATCATACACATAGTGCTTCTTCTGAGTTACCAACATTAAAAAGTAAAAATGTGGTATACTTTGTCGGACGTCCAGACATACATGGTGTGGTAACCGTGATGTCCCGTATAGATATTCTAACTTACTGTTTTGCTTAGTCTGTTGCACCTCAATTCACAGCTAGACTGGCTAGACGTAATTTCCTCTTTTCTGGCTTTATTGGACATGCAAGCATATATGTTTTTGCCAGGTGTTCTTTAACCAGTGTATATATGTTAGTCCAACATTGTCTAATACTTATCCATATATGTATGATGTTTGTTTTCTTTTTAGTTTCGCCTCCTCGTGGATACTATGAGTTCGTGAGGGACAAGAACATAATATATTTTTGCGAACAAGACAAAAACAGAGTTAAATTCAACCTTAAAATAAAAAATGTAGCATCAAATTCTGTAAGAGAATGAACATATCTGTGCACGCTAACACGCCTCGGAGATTCCTTAAAAAATAAGTCTTGGAGATATTTGATGACACCCTCGCTAGCTAACGTCTCAGAGTTGAAAGGAGGAAAACTCAACATGGGTGCACGTCGGCTGATTTTCTCTTTTGAGAGCTAACACGTTGGCTAGGTAGTAGTAGAAATCAGCGGTCTCGCTGGCGCTCCACGCCCCACATGTTATCGTCGGCTGAAAGCGAACCCTTCCTTCCGAAACCTCCTCCACCTTGATGATTTCTAGGACGAACTGTTGCCTGCGCTCACTGCCGCCCGGAGATCCCATGCACCCACGCATGCCGCCAAATCCTCCTCGCTTTCCCGCACGCCGCCGGATCCCGGTTTTCCACTTCGGCCATGGCGGGCTGTCGGATCACGGGTTCCGACAAAACCCTTAAGGTTCGAACTCTGGGGAGCGCGCGAAGATCTCCTCCTACCGATCCACGTCCTAACTTAGCTAAGATCTTACGAACTAACTCGACGAACTCGCAACACAAATGACACAAGATTATACTGGTTCAGGCCACCGTTGTGGTGTAATACCCTACTCTAGTGTGGTGGTGGTGGTGGATTGCCTCTTGGGATGAGGATGAACAGTACAAGGGGAAGAACAGCCTCCTGAGGTTGAGGTGTTCTTGTGCTCGGTGGTGTGTGGCCAAGGATGTGGTGGCTTCAATCTCAGATCCGGTCTCTCCCTAGTTATGGTGGTGGCTAGTCCTATTTATAGTGGCATCGGTCCTCTTCCCAAATATTGAGCGGGAAGGAATCCCACAGCGGCCAATTCGAAGGGGGACAGCTAGTACAAGTTATCCCGACAAAATCAGTCTTCGCCTGCCAAAGGCTCTGGTGGTGACGCCGTCTTGGGCTCCACGGTGACCTCCATCTTGCCGTCCTTCTAGTCTTGGTCTCGTTGCACCAATATGGAAACCTTTGCTTGACGCCTCGGTACTGCGTGCCTATGCTTGCCCCCTTAGCACCAAAAAGGAAACAAGGACGTTGCACGCGTTGGCGCCCGCCTGGTGCCCACCTGATCTCGATCGTCATGGCTCACGTCACGAGAACCTCGCCAGGTTTGCGTGGCCTTGAACTCTCCGCCCCTCACGAGCCAGCCTGATGAGGCCGCTCCTGAGGAGGTCTTGTGTCGTCCGCCTCGCGAGGCTTGGCCCCTCGCGAGGGTCTTGATTCCTTGTTGATGAAGATGGCCCGTACAGGCCTGCTAGTAAAGCCACGCCGTGGGCCGCAGGCAGGCAAGTCTGGGGACCCCCATTTCCAAAACGCCGACAGTAGCCCCCGGGCACAAGGCGCGCTCGGGCTTGGCTTCGAGGCGAAGCCAAAGGTCAAGTGCGGAGCGCTGCGTGCCCCAATAGCCTGCGGCCTTGATTGACGCGTGGCGGTTGATTGGACGTGGGCGTCTCCGCTTCCCCACGCTGCCTTGATAACCGTCTGGCTAAACGACCACCGCGGTCTACACGGTTATTCTTCCATCGCTTGCGCCATTCTCCTCCAATTCCTCTGCTTCCCCCCGGACTCTGCTCCTCTTTCCAATCTGACCTTAGCTCTGCTCTCCCCATCGCCATGGCACCGACGCAAGCGGATAAGGGGAAGAAGGCTCTGTCTTCGGCTAGTGCGCCCCCGGCCGCCGAGCCCGCAGTAGGCCGATCGCCGGTGCTCAACGATGAGGCCATGTGCAAGGTGTGTCCCATGCTTGCCTCCAGCTTCAATGAGTGGGGAAAGACGGTGGCTTGGCCTACATCTCGCGCTCGCATTGATCGGGCAGCCACTGAGGTCCCTTTCTTCATCGACGCCCTTTGGGCTGGCTTGGTCCCTCCTTTCTCCGCCTTTCTCAATGCGGTGCTTTCCCATTATCAGATCCACATGCTGCACCTTGATCCCCAATCCGTGACCCTTCTTGCCGTCTTCGCCTTCGTTTGCGAGGCCATGGTATGCATTGCTCCCTCCGTGGCTCTTCTCCGCCACTTCTTCTCGCTGCACCTGAGCGATCCTTGCCAGAGCTCCGGATGCCTAAGCTTTCAAGCCGTGGTGGCGACAGCCGGCGACGGGATCGACTTCGAACTTCCACCATCCACGAGCGAGTTTCGGACACGATGGGTGTTTGTTGATGCCGGAGTGCTCAGCCCCCTGCTCTCCTCTCCGTCAGGGCCTGTCATTTCTAACTCCAGTTGGTGCCACCAGAGGCTCGCCAATCCATGCCTTGTTCCCGCCTGGCTCATGTTGAGGTGGCTCAAAGACCTTGGCGTGACTGCGCCTATGGTGGTGAGGGAGTTCGTCCGGCGCCGAATCGCTCCGCTTCAGCGCCACTCCCGGCCGATGTGGGCCTTGCTCAGCAGCCAGGACCACATGAGACTTCAGGAGTCTAAGCTCCCCCTTGAGGCGCGGCGAACGGTGCTTGAGGTCCTGACGGGCGTCTCGTTGCCAGACGACTTGCCGAGGAAGAGTTGCCTTTTATACCGCTGCTCGAACAAGATGACATTCGCGGAGTGGATGCCCTCCTTCGAGAAGTGGGGGCTGCACCCAGTTGGCCTCGTGGGGCCCCGTGAGAACCCCATCGTTGTTGTCCCTCTCCTTGACGCTGGCGTCGAGCTCGCCCCAAGTGTTGGTGGAGGGGGGCGTGCACCGCTGGGGGTTGATAGTGAAGGTGCTGAGATGCTGATGCCACCCAGGGCTCCTGAGGTGTCGACCTTGGGGTCTCGTGATTCTTGCCCTGGGGCGGCGGTTGAAGGGGCGACGCAGCCCGTGTCTCCCGCGACCAGGGCTCCTGAGGCCTCGGCAAGTCACTGCGAGGCAGAGCCGGCTAGCTCTCCTCAGCTTGGCGCTTTTGAGGCTGCCCCTCCGAGCACTTCTCTAGCCGCGCCTCGTGTCGGCCTCCATGTCCAGCGCTTCGGCCGGCTTTGTGTGGACTTCAAAGAGCTCCGCAAGAGGAAGGGGTCCCCGAGCTGCGGCAGCGGCACCTTCGGGCCATTAAAACGGAGGAAGTATATCGCCGTTGACGAGTAAGTACCTCATCTTGGTGATCTTCTGCTTGTTGCTTTCCTTCCTGACGATTGTCTCCTCAGGACCCCTTCTGCCAAGGCCGCAAAATCTCCTGAGAAGCAGCTCCCTCTCGCCCCATTTCACCCGCCAAACTCGAGCACTGTAGGCTCGTGCGCTGCCCATGGTGTAGGGTCAACCATGGGAGTTGGCCTGTCATCAAGGTGTCTCGAGCTTGCGCCTTCGCCGTCTTTTCTTCGCGGCCTTTCTTGGAGCACGACAAGCATGCCAAGGGCTCCTCCCCTGGTCGCGGTCGGTGGCTGGTTGGCTTCGATCTCGGGGTCTTCTTCAAGAAGCGGGCCCAGTTTAGTTCAGGCCCCTCGTGAGGCCCAGCTGATGCCTAGGGCAGCGGCAGCCCCCAGGCCCCTGCTGAGAGGGGGTGCACCGCTACAGGCGTCGCCCATAGCCCCCGTGGCGGAGGACGAGATGGGATGTGCGCTTGAGTTCGACCATGGGCGAAGTGTTGTTCGTCGTGAGCTCTTCCATGAGGCGATGGGTGCGATGAACCGACTCGGTGAAGAACTCATGGGTGTCGATACACGCCTTGAGGCCGAGGGTCTTCGGTTGGCGGAGGAGTGGCACAAGCTGAAGGTGACCAATAACCTCGGGCGCCATCAGTGCGAGCTGGATAATGTGAAGGCTGAGGTTTCCCTTGCAGCCTCCCGTGAGGCGTGCTCCTGAGCTCTGGAAGAGGCTCGGGAAGATGACCGCCGTCGCGAGGCCGTGGAGAAGCACGTGTGGGAGCTCCAAGCCTAGAGCAATGTCTTGGATCAGCAGGTGGAGGCGCGTAGGGCTGCCCTTGCGTCATTGAGGGGGACACCCGCCAAGGAGGAAGAGATTCGGAAGCGCGAGGAGGTGCTGGCGCTGGAAGCTGTGGAGCGCAACCTTGAACTCAAACGGCTGGAGACGAGGGAGCGCCAGGTTGCTCAGGCGGAGGACGACGTCGGTGCGCGCGAGGTCAGGTCCCAGGAGGAGGTCGACCGCCGGGTGGCCGAGGC